CAGGCTATTGTCTCTCCCACATTCTAACCTCTTCATATTTGCTCATGGCCTCCTGCATTCCTCCTCTCTGCCCCATGCTGAGGTGGCAGCCAACTTTCCATTGGATGAGACAGTTAATGGTGAGCTGGTCCAACCATTCGCACTGGCCATGCCTTTCCACACACCCCTGCCCCAATTAGTCCTTCCATCATACAAAGTCACCCTTCTTCATGCCTGATGTGCCTCAGGTCATCTGTCTCCCAGTATGCACACGGTGCCTACAACTCAGCTCTGCGTCAGTATGGCCAACTGGCTTTTAGCAGAAGGCTGTCACGTTCTTCACTCATTCTGCCATCTTAGGTTGATCAAGAATAGGCTCTGAACCATGTCCTTTGTGCATAGGGTCTTAAGGACACAAACCTTTAGGGACAGATACCACAATATGAGTGTGAGCACCACTGAGACTCCAAACTTTCTCAAAAATTAGAGTGGGAGGAAGCTTTAAAACACAACAAAACACAGCAGCCAGGCTGAGCCTTGGAAACCAGTTGGCCTCAGCAGAAGCCTTAAATGGAAATTAAAGATCACTATGTAGCAGTCTTTCTGATCTACAGCCTTGCTGTAGGACATTGTGCAGACACTGCTAAGTTGTTGGCACAGGCTGTTGGCATCCTCTTAACTACACAATTGCAGGCAGCAATCTGTGGCTCTTGAGTTGTATCTGCTCCTTCTCATCTTTTTCCTTCACCTCATGGGCTCTGGGGGGGTACATGTGGAGGCACAAGATTGTATGAAGTTATTCATCTCAAGTTTCAGATCACAGCTTTCCTAACCTTTGAGTTGCCATGTCTTTTCTCATTTTGTTTTTATCTTCTTTTTGTGTGTGTGTGGTACTGAGGATTGAACCCAGAAACTTAAACATACTAGATTAGACAAGGCCTTGCCACTAGTGTATACCGTCAGCACTGCCTCTTTAAAAAAGCCCATTCTCTAATCCCAGTTCTCAGGAGGCTGAGGCAGGAGGATTGCCTGGGCCAATCTGAATAACATAGTAAGACCCTATCTTAGAAGACCAAACCAAACTAAACAAAAAAAATTATCTTCTTTTTCTCCCCTCAGGTTCTTCTCTCTCTGTCTCTGTCTCTGTCTCTGTCTCTGTCTCTGTCTTTCTCTCCCTCTCCCCCTGCGTCTCCCCTTCCCTTTCCCTCCTCCTCTTCCTTTCCCTCTCCTCCTCTTCCACTGTCCCGCTGTCCCCCTCTCTCCTCTCCTCTCTCTCTCTCTGTCTCTCTCTCACTCTCTCACCCCCCTGACTCTTCCCTGGTGTCTGCTGGGTACCAGGGCATGGATCCTGTCTGACCTGGATGCCTAGGTGCCAGGACAGGCTATCTTGACCAGAGGAGGAGATGCTGGCTCTACTGCCACCCAGTGTCTAATCCTCCTGAATTTTTCAAAATGCTTATCCTCGTGGGCAGCGTCAGAATATGCTGTCCTTGTCATACTGAGAGTTCTGCTCTCCTCAGTAAACCTAGAACTTGAGTTCCCACAATTTTCTCTGTACCTTTTTCTCTGCTCTCATTTAGGCCCACGTAAGTACAGAAAGGAGGCTTTTGAGGGTAAGGACACTGGAGCTGAAAATACAAAAATATATTTTGAGACAAAGCTGAGGGAAGAACTGAGTCATGGTAGTGAAGCCCAGCTTTGTTCATCCCCCTCCTTCCCCTGGCAGCACTGTGGTAAGGCTAGCTTCTCTGCCAGAGAGCCTTTCCAGAGTCACGGGCTGGATAAAGAACCCATAGGAGCCAGGTGCAGTGGGTAACAGCTGTAATCCCTGCTGCCTGAGAGGCTAAGGCATAAGGACTGTGATTTGAGGCCAGCTCGGGCAACTTAGTGAGATCCTGTTGTCCCTCCTAACACTGCACCACCACTGCCAAAAAAAAGAACTGATGGGAGTCAAGAGGTCAGCTGAAACATCAGCTGGTGTGCTCTGTGCCTCATGTTTGGCCAAGAGAGGAGAAAAGATGTTCTGACATCTGTGTTCTTAGAACCTAGGACTTTAGGAACTGGGAGAGACTTAGAATTCATTGTATTCAGAGGAGCTGTGATTTCTCTCATGTTACACAGGGAAGGTACAGTTAGAATGCACATTGCTGGACTTGTAGTCTCACCCTGTTTTATTTTATTCTTCCTACAGTGCTGGGGAATGAACCCAGGGCCTGGCACATGTGAGGCAGACACTGCTACTGGGCTATATCTCTGGCTCCTCAGTCTTACACTTTAATCTGTCACTCAGATGCCATTTAGAAGAGACCCAGATCTTTCACTCACAGCCTAATGTGTGAGTGGTCAGCCTACTGCCAGAGGAAGGCTAGGATAGCCTGTGAGTAGGGTTTGATGCTGGAAAGAAGCAATTTCCTTCTCTCTGCCAGAAAGAAGCAGCTTTGGTTGGGGATCTGCTCCTTTCTTTGTTCCCTTAGCCCTTGGGCTCAAGGTGAGAATACCACTAGTGGCTTAGGAAATGTTCTTGCCAGACCCTTGTGATATTAGAGCTGTGTACAGCCAGTGGAGGGAACAGGGAGGAGGGAGATGAGTCCTCTGAGGTGGAACAAACTACCTTTCCATGTGGATGCCTCTCCCTCCAAGGGAGAGCTGGACTCCACTGCTGAGGAGTGGCTTTGATCCAGCAGGAGGATGAGTTAAGGAAACATTCATGGGAGTTCCTGCCTCTTTTCCACTCTTCTGCTGTTACACATCAGGAATAAATACCCTAACTGCAAGGGCACAAGAACTCTTTAGGGACCCTGGGTTTGGAAGAAAAGCAACCAACTTGATGGTCAGAGTCAGAGTGGCGGTGATATCCTCCTCCCACAGTCTCTCTGAGGGCTCAGCCCCTCACCTACACAGCTCCAGAGACTTGTGAAGAGTGTAGGTTGGCACCTGCTGTTATGGCCTGTATCTAGATGTCTCCCCAAAGCCTCACACTGTCGGAGGTGGAGCTTTTCAGAGGTGGCTGATTCTAGGGTGTGTGATGCTGGAATTGAGTGTTCAATGCTAGGATTAAGGGTGCCCAACTCTGGGTGTGAGTGCCATCTGCTTTGGGGGCCTAGATGGAATATAAGGGACAGTAAGAGAGTTGTTGCTGCTTCTTCACTACCTCGTCACTTGCTACTTTGCTGCTTTGCTGCTTTTTGCCTGCTCTGCTCCACCATGAACTATTTCTATTCTTTGATGTCCCTCTGTCATGCCTCCTTGCCTTGGAGCCAGTAGATTATAGACTGAAACCTCTACAAACTGTGAACTGAAACTTGCTTTAACTTTGGGTGTCGGGCATTTTGTCTCAGCAACAAGGAAAGTAACTAAGACACCTGGGTATAGAAGTTGTCCTCTGATCCCATGGCAGACAGAGGCCTGAGTGTGTCTAAGAGGCAAAGACAGCTGACCTCAGTATTTCCTGCCAGTCTCCGTGCTTCATATGAGTCCAGAAGTAGGTAGAAACCTCTGGGAGATTGACCAGGTAATCTTTGGGACCTGTCCCATCTGTCAGCCACTTGAGGCCCATCTGTGTCCTTGGTTTGGTCCCAAGTATATACACTGTGGCCAGAGTTATGCCCTTCACCAGGGCAAGCAGGTAGAGCTATGGAAACTGAAGAACATGACTTTTAGCATTTTTCTTTTTCTCATGCTCAAACAGCCAGTCATAGGTTGATAGACTTACTTAAGCTCCAGGGGCCAAGCAGGTGAGTTGGGCTGTGATGACTGAATGCATTTTTAGGAGGTGCTGAATCGGACTTGAGGCCTAAAGTCTGACTGTGGAGGAGTATGGAAGGCCTTTTCTGAGCCCTGTTGGAGGCCTTGCAAGGGCTTCCCAGGAGCTGCTATTCTGGAGGTCAGCCTAAACCCTGCCTCACTGTCAGCAGGGTAGATGAGGACCACCTCCCTGTGTTCAGCCTGGCCAACTTCCCTCTGCAAGTTCTTCAGTGCACAAGGGGTAGGCTAGGTGCTATTGGTCAGGATCCCATTGGCTTGATTTACATTGGCTTGGGGAGCCCCTCCCATCCTTGCACCAACTGCTCCCAACTCTTCAAACATGGGGAATGCTGGGGCTGCCAGAAAGAACTGGGCTGGCCTTTGGACAAATTAGTCCATTGGCATTCTGCACACAGCCACATGTACACAGTAATTGATAAGGCGAGAGTCTGGGGGAGCAGGAGGGGTGGATCAATCTGGTACTAACGGGCTGGCCGCTTGACGAGCAGCAGGGGTTGGTGCCTGGTATGAGACTGTGCCTCTCTGGAGATGGAGATGCTTAAGTGCTTAGGGAAGGCCTGGTGAGAGGCCCTTCTAGAACTGCCTCAAACTGGTTGGGAGCTGCAGGGGTCCATGGCTTGGCTAGGTGTGCATGTGAAGTAAGAAAGCCTGTGATCCGTCTGTGTTCAGGTTCCTGGCTTGTGGGATTCAGCTTTATTGCTATTCCTGACAAGAATCTTGGTCTCTCTCTGGCCCCGGGAGCCCCTGTTCTATCAGCAGATTGATAAATTTAGATGCTCTGAATTATTTCCTTTTCTCTTCATGGCTGGGGCTAGGATGTTCCCTTTGAAGGGGCCTGATCTGAGCACCCAGGGATTGGAATTTAAGTCAGACTCAAGATGTGGTGGGAAAGTTTGAGTCCTTAAGATGTCCCTGAGTTATGGTAGTCTTCAGGTAGATTAGAGGTCTTCACCCTCAGGTAGGCTGTGAGCCAAGCTTTGGCTCTAGAGTACTTAAAAGTGTTCTCTGGGATAAAAAGTGAGGTTCTTTTCTTCCTTGTCATACATCTTATCACTAGAGAACAGCTTCTGCTCAGCAGCCTGGGCCAGTGTTGGGTAAGTGGGCTAAGCCCAGGATGCTACATGGGAGGAGCAGGTGACACCTCTCCCTAGGGAATGCAGGGATCCAGGGCAGGTCCTAGTGCTTGCCGGCAGCATCATGTAGCTGTGAGAGTGGTTTTGGGTGTTCTCACTCTAACGCTTGTCTTTGTCTTCTAGCCCTGGCCTAGTGTGTCCAACCTGGCCAAGGACTTCATTGACCGCCTGCTGACTGTGGACCCTGGAGCCCGAATGACTGCACTACAGGCCTTGAGGCACCCATGGGTGGTGAGCATGGCAGCTTCTTCGTCTATGAAGAATCTGCACCGCTCCATCTCCCAGAACCTCCTCAAGCGTGCCTCCTCACGCTGCCAGAGCACCAAGTCTGCCCAGTCTACAAGATCCAGCCGCTCTACACGCTCCAACAAGTCACGCCGCGTGCGTGAGCGTGAGCTGCGGGAGCTAAACCTGCGATATCAGCAGCAGTATAATGGCTGAGCCACCAGCTGCGGCACAGTCACCCTGTGGCCCCAGCTTAGCCGCACTCTGCTGTGCCATCTGGGCCCAATACTCTCTTTTGAAATAGGCTTCATGGCCACTAGTATGCAGAGAATACCTGACCCCAGTACCTTCTCCATGCCTTCAGCAGCCCCTGTTCAAATGGACCTGGGTTTGGTGTGATGGAGTGGAGGTGGCCCAGGAGGCTGAGACCCCTTATCCGGGAACCTGGCCTGGCACTGATTCCCGTTTTGGTGGGAAGCTGCTCTGTAGAGTTGGGGGAAGGGACAGGTCCTAGCTTTCACTGTCTCCTTCATCCTTTGGCTGTTCCTCAGACCAAAGGGGCTTGCAGTGCTGGGTAGTGTCCTATGGCCCAGGACCTTTGGAACAGTTCTGGCACTCCTCTTTTATCCACAGAGCATTCCTCCCTAGCTCCTCTCATTTTTTGGCATTCTAATCTGTAAGATTAGGCTCCAAATGGCAGGCCTAGCTTTGGTTTAGTACACTGCAGGCCCCAGGTGCCTTGACTGGACCAAGAGCTCCTGGTTAGATCTAAGCCCGTGTCTCCCATTGCAAATCTGTCTTCCTTTGTGGTGCTGCCGGAGACCCTTCCTGGCCCCAACACTTGCCAGGACCTCTGGACGCAGTACGCTGGCGTGGACCTTAGCCCTGATGGTGTAGGCTCACCTCAGCTCCAGCTGAGCTGACTGAGAGGGTTCCTATTCACCACTCTCAGTTTCTCTGGAGAGACCTCCATTGCCTCCCTCTCCTTCTTGGATGCCCATTTCATTCTCCAGGTGCCTCCTTCCCAACTGTGGGGGTTAAAGGGAGCCCCATTGCTGCTACCTGGGGGATGGGGGCACCTGGGCCAAGGCAGAGGGTTCGCCTTAAGGATCCCATTGTCAGCTCTAGTGCCATCCTTTGGTATCCATTGCCTCTTCGTTTCAGGGCCACCATGCCCTCCTCTGCAGCTTCATGAAGGCGCCATCTAGTGTCTGGCCTGGGAATAGGTAGCCAGAGGTGAGCAGTGGATGTCCATATTGCATACCCAGTCTTCCAAAAGGAAGTGAAAAGGAAGGAGCTGCTGCATTGCAAGAGGGTCCTGGGCTGTTCAGCCCTCTTTCTCAGCTTTTGTGCACCTCACCCTGGAACTTAGCCATACTGTGTGACCTGCCTCTGAACCCTGGGTGCCTGGGGTACTGGTCTTGCTGTGAGAGCTACCCTTGTCCTTTCCATCCAGTGCCCACTTCCTTTCGTAGCATTAATCTTCCAATCTGGGCCCCACCGAGTCTCAGGCTAGAGGGAGCCCTTACAGGAGGTGGCGAGCAGGGCAGGTGTTCCCAGAGGTCTGAGCCAGAACTGTACCAGTAGCTGCCATGGTATTTCCCTGTCACCACCAACTATGCTGAAGCCCAAGGCCTCCCTCCATAGCTGCTTTTAAAGGGTAAGAAGGGGCCAGGGCCGAGCTTCTGCCTTACCTAGGATCCTGCCAGCTGGGAGAGTTTGACCCTCACTTAGCTGCTCCCAGTGGGTGGTCTTGGGCCACACTCTCCTCTTTCTGTATGTGCCACCTTCAGTGTGATACCAAGCCAAAGAGACCACTGTGTGCCAAGCTGACTGTGCCTTATATACCCCCTCCTCTGTCCCTGTTGCTCTGGGCAAGAGGGAATAGAAGGGCCAAGCCCCACAGCCTCAGAATTTCCTGCCACTTTCCCAAATATGTCTAGGGTCCTGAAGTCCTGGGAATTTATTTCCTCTCTTGCCCAGGGCAGACCTGGTCCTGAGAGTAGGACAAAGGAGTTTGGAGTATTGGGCCTCCCTCTCACGGACCCTGGATGGAGAATGTGCAGTTATTTATTTTGTGTACTCAGTTTGTAAATGTATCCTCTGTATTCAATAAACAGGGTGCCCTCCCCAGGGAAGGCTGCCCATTCATTCCAACATCCCTAGCTCTGTGCTGTGATACCAAAAGATTGCCCCAGTGGAGGAGGGATGGGCGCCCCATCTGCGATGGCTACTGTAGGAACCGCTTGACCTCAGCCCCTTCTTGTATCAAAAGATAAAGTTCAAGTGGGGGTGTGGGTGGGACCTCCAAGAGCTTTCCTTTTTCCTGAGCCAGGAGAAAGACAAGTACACAAGAGGACAGGTTGGAGTCTTTATTAGGTTGAGATGGGGCAGAAGGCCTATGGTAGACTCAGTTGTATGCTATGACTTGGTTGATCCAAGCGTTGAACTTGCTAACACGAGCATATACAGCAGGTGCTCGCACATTACAGTTACTGGTGCCCCAGGAGACAACACCAATAAGCACCCATGTGCTCCCTTTCTGACAGACAAGAGGGCCTCCAGAGTCACCCTGTCAGGGTAGAAGAGAGGAGAGGTCAGTTCGGCAGGTTAGCTGGGATATGCTGTGGGCCAGTGCAGAGGAAAGGGTGCTTGTGCTCACCTGGCATGAGGAGACACCTGAAGCACCTGCGCAGACCATGGAGTCAGTGATACTTGAACCCCAGTACTGTTGGCACTGATTCACAGTGACCAAGGGCAGAACTGCCTGCTGCAGACGTGCTGGTGTCACATTGCCTGTGGGCCAGGAAGAGATAGTCAGACTGGCCCAAACTTATCACCCTCTCTCCAGCTCAGGCCTGAGTTCCTACCCACGCCACTGAGGCGGCCCCAGCCGGTGGTGACACATTTGAGGCCATCATATAGTGCCTCATTTGAAGAAGCCAGGCAGACAGGTGAGATGCGTGTTGTATACTGGGCTGGTGAGGCCAGTTTCAGGAGCGTCAGGTCATTGTTCAGAGTGGTGGGGTTCCAGCTTGGATGTGTAATGGCCTATGGGGCCAGAAAAGAATAATGTAGGGCCAAGGTGGGAACAGGTACCCAGAGTTGGTGCTGAGGTTGGTGGAGCAGGGCATGCCTGCATTCCTGTATCCAGAGCAACCTACCTGCAGTTTGGTCTTCCCACATAGGCAGCCAGGCACTCACCTTTGAGATGGCCAGCACCTGCACAGGCTCAGCCTTGGATGATAGGTCATACTCGCCCAGGACAGCAGAGTGGCTGCCAGGACTGCAGGGGGAGAGGCGTTGGACAGCCACAGAGCAAGAAGGGGTGGATCGAAGGAAAGTAGGTAGGAAGCGGTGGGCCAAGCAGGGCAGGTGGAATACACACACTCACCTGATGTTGCAGTGGGCAGCAGTTACCACCCAGTTCGGGCTGATGAGAGAACCACCACAATAGTGGAAGCCATTTCTGTCCTGGGGTCAAGGGTTAGGGAGGTGGGTGGGCTCAAGGTATATCAGCATGAAGCACCCAGGACCCCTGCCCTGCCCCTAGGGTGCATGTACCTGCAGGGACACTTGCCAGGGCCAGGAGCCTGATACCGCATTCACCCCATTGACAATCCTCTGGCTGAAGCTCAGCGCTGGACTGATGGCAGGAACGCCGCAGCCTGGCCATTGTGCTAATGAGGATCCACACCCCAGCCCACTTCTCTCCACCTCCTTGTGGGTGCCCCCAGCAGGATCCAAATTCAGTACTTCCTACTAGCTCTACTCCTAAGCACCTAATGGGCCTGCACAGCTGTCAGAGTTACCACAGCCAGCCTACCCCGCAAGTCTTATCCATTCCCCACCTCTCTCCAACCCAGCCCCCACAGTCCCCCAGCTGCACCTCGGCCCTTCAACCCAGACCACTTTTCTGTTTGGCCCCTGTGATAGTCTCCTCCCTAGCCCTCCACTGCTGAACAATTCATACCCTTCATGTAGCCAGAGGGCTCTTCCTAAGATATGCACCTAATTTTCAACAGCTCAGCTTCCTCAGCTCTCTTGGGCCTGGCTCAAGTTCCTGCCCCTTTTGTGAGACAGGTCCCTACCCACCTTTTGCCCTTTCATAGCCCCACAGGCCCCTTCCTGCTACTCTGTCCTGCCACATCCTTTTTCCTTTTCCCATGCTGTTCAGCTGCTTCCCTTCCAGTCAGATTGGTCTCTTCCCTGGGCCTCTGGTTTGCTGCTGGGAGCTGAGTTGCTCCAGGCTGTTCATTGTGGGCTGATTTTGGCTCACTTACCCCAGGAGGAGTCTAGGAGAACCAGGCTAAGGGTCAGGCTGAGCAGTAACATGGTGGCAAGTATGAGCATGAGCATTGAGCCTGGCTTTATTTATGGGCATCCTTGTCCTTGGGGCAAAGCCCTAGGCCAGCTGTGTAAGCTTCGCCCCTTCCCATGCTTCACTTAGGTGGAGTCCCTAGGCCAAGGTCCCCTGACGTAAGTCTGGACTTAACAGACAGCCCAGGTGTGAGGCTTTCACATCCACCACCCCCAAATCCTGGCCTCTGATTGGTTCTTTGAACCATCTCACACCCCAGGTGTTGGGTACTAGGTACCAAAGAGATACAGTTAAATTAGGTCTATAATGTCAGCCTGATGGCTGGCACCAGGAAAGTGTTTCAGGTGTTTCTGCGCTGTCAGAGAATGCTGCTCAGAATCCAAGAGTGGCAGAGGAAACAGCCAGTTGCACTCAGCTCTCCTGTGAAAGGCCGGAGAGTGAGATTCTGGCAAATTCTAATCCTAACAGAGGTTCATGAATTTGGAAGTTTTCTCAGAGATGATGATGACTCTATCATGAAGTAGGGTAGGACACAAACCCTGGACCCTACATTCTCACTAAGTATGAGCTGAGCCCTGGGCGACTGGCAGACCCTGGACTGAGGCTGATGGTTGAAGGGTGACAGCCATCAAACCTCTAAACTTGCCATAGTGTCTACAACCCATTTGTTATTGAGCTCCAGGCTGAACTTGAACTGAAAGAGAAAAGACGCTACAAAGTTGTCACAGGTGAGTGACAGGTCTCCTGCCAGGGATGTGAGGACTTTACTGACTCAAAAATGCCTTAGTCCAAGTGGAGCATGGTGCTGCACACCTATAATTCCAGCACTTGGCGTGGCTGAGGCATCACTGCGTGCCCCAGCTGAGGTTGGAGGCCAACCTCAGCTACATAGTGAGTTTAAGGTCAGCCTATACTACAAAGCAAGACTCTGTCTCAAAACAATACAAAACACCTTGGTCCAAAAGCAAGAGATGAATGAGTGGTGGATAGAGGCATGGATGGTAGATGATCATGCGTAATTAGGGGCCCAGGGCTATCCAGCCTGATATAAACCCTCCCTAAAGGAGGGCAGACAGTTTGGAAGCCCCAGTGGAGCTCAGTCACTGCTCAGTAAGTTTCTTAGATAAATGTGTCATAGCTCCCCATGAATCCTATACTCCCTGTCAGCCCATCAAAACAGGAGTTGACCTGCCTACTCAGAGCCCAGCATGTGCAGATAAAGCCCAGCTTTGTATAAAGGCCTCAGGTGAGCCTGGTCCTCAGTGTCACAGGAAAAGGTGTAGGAGAATGGAACACTTGGTGGGAACTTGCTCTTGGACCTAGGGAGCAGCTCCTCTGTTAGCACAAAAGCCCTCAGGGCAGGCCTGAGTAAGATGTGTGGGCTTTGTTCTGGGTGACTGATGAACCAGGGAAAAGGCTCTGGGATGGAGCTGTCCCTGGGTTTTGTGGGATTTACAACAGTGGACTAGAGGGTAAGAGCAAGGAGGGGGAGTGGTGGGGGAAGCTGATGTGGAGTCACAGATGAAGTTTTTGAGGGGAGAGAGGATGAAAGCTTTCTACCTTGACCTTGTGACTAGGCCAGGTGATTTAGCTACAGAGCCCTGCTGGCAGCCTGCCCCATTCCACCCAAGAATAGACTCAGCCATCTCTTTAGGTGTCTGTATTTTCCCAGGTTGGTTTCACTCATTTGGAGCTCTAAAGCCTCAGGTGACTTCACTCCACATCCATGGCCTGCACAGTTTCCTCCAGGAGCTCCAGCTTCAATGGCTGCACCGTCTGGGTCAGGACTGCTGTGGTTCCAGGTGCCACTCGGTAATGGCCAAGTCTGGGAAAGGGGAAGAGCAGCCTCTCAGCATGTGGCTTGTCTTCTTTCAGCCCCTTATTTGTGTCCCCAGCTATTGCCCCATCTTCCTTGTAGTTCCCCCTTTCCCACCTTTTCATGGGTTCTATAGGTGAACTGAGTGTTCGCAGCAGCTTGGCGCCCATTGCAGTGATCACACACGCATCTACGCTGCCCCCAGAACCCAGGTCACCCAGGATCCCTGCGGTGATGGCTTCCACCAGCAGCCCCTGCGCCGCCTCCAGCTGTAATGATGTGTATGTGAGGTGTAATGGACCCTCCAGTGTTTCCTCAGGCTCCAGCCTGGGATCTTTGTTAATCTTGAAGCTCAGACTTTACCACTTGTACACACTCAACCTCTTCTCTGCTCCTCCACCCCAACTTTCCTCCCCAGGTCTCTGCCTGCCTCTCCCAAGACTCTATGTCTCTCCACTCACTTTCCTCTGCACAAATTTAGCTACAACTGTGGCCAGCAGTCTGCCCACCTAGTATTGTCTTGGCCCCCACCGCCTCTGGGTCACTGGATTTCTCTCTAGGTCTTGGCCACCTCTTAGACACATAGTCACCCATTTTCTTTTTTTTTGAGACGGGGTCTCACTTTGCAGTTCAGGCTGGCCTCGAACTCGAAGCAAGCCTTCCGGGTGCTGGGATTACAGGTGTGCGACACCTCACCCAGATTACCCATTTTCATCCCTTTCCAAAGTCCAGACTTCAGGCCTTATATAGAACCCCACCACAGTTTTCCTCTTCCGTTGGCTCCTAATGGTCCTCTGTGAACTTCAACGTCTGCCCTGGAAGCTTTGGCACTGTGAGGACCACGCTTCTCCACCTTCCCTCCACTCAGTATCTACTCAGTTTCCTTCTCTTTTTTCTCCCAAAACCTTTCTCTGCCTTCCATATTGGGCCACAGTCTCTCCGCACTCCCCCAGCTCCTGGGTGCACTTCCCATCAGTGACCATGTAGTTGGGGGCAGAGGTTGCTCACTGTCATGTTCGGCTGGAACCGGTCCTCCAGCACCGCCAGAGCCGCATCCTGCCCAGATCCTGCAGGCGGGAGGGGCATTTGAAGTCAGTTGCATCCATCTAGTCTGGGGTACAAACTTGAGGCTAAGGGTTGCTGGGCAGGGGTCGTGAAAGTACTCACCCTGGGCCATGAAGGGAAGGCGACTGTAGGACCCATGGGGATGCAAGCCATACAGCTGCGGTCCTGTCGGGTCTACTCCACCCACTATCAGGGATGCCGCCACGTGGCCTTGGTACCTGTTTGCAGGGGGCGTGGTTATCTGCAAGCAGGACCTAGGCCAAGCCTCTGGCACCACCGCCCCTGACGCGAGCCCCGCCCCTTCCCTGGCTTGGCCGCCTGCGCTGACATCACCCCTTCCTGTTGTTTGGTTTCTCTTGGGCCGGCCTCCTCCTGGTTCCCCGCCCATCACAGCCTCCCTTTCCCCTGTCCCTCCTATTAGCTGCTTCCCTGCAATTCTCCTCCCATTTTAGTCGGCTCATCGTACCGGAAGAGCATCTGGCGTAGGATGCGGGTGACAGTAGCCACTCGAGGCTCGCGGCCCGTGGATAGCGCGTGTAGCTCCATGTTAGACGCTGCCATCCGTGTAGTCATCTCGGCATCGGCGGCTACTCCAGCCCCACAGCAACTGAGGGCGAAGGGACAAAGGGTGTGGGCAGGGCTTGGACATTAAGGGCCTAGGGTAGGAGCGAGAGGGCGGTTCTTTCTTGCGTGCTGGAACTGGGCTTAGGGATTCTCACTAAATTTTGGGGGCGATGTAGTGAATCTTCTCGCAGTTCTTGTCCGCTACGACCATATCGTCAGTGGCCCGCGTATCTGCTCCCAGGATGACACCATCCTGCGGACGCGGAAGGGCCGCTCAGTGCTCATCCGGTCCTCCCACCTTGGCCGTTCCTCTAATTCCCCCAGTACCAAGCCCTTGCTCACTCGGAACACCAGTCCTGCGATGGTGGTCCCGGTCTTGTGTGCACGAGGGACCCGGGGACCCGGAAAGGCGCGTTCCAAGGATGCATTTCTGGAAAGGGAGGAGGGAGGCTCAGGTTTGGGTTCAGCTTCTCCGGCTCCTGTCGGATTCTCCAACCGTCTAGTCTGTCCAGACCTCCCTAATCTCCCGGGCAAATTTGCAATCCAAATCTTAACACACACCTCCCCTACCCGCACCCGGAAAAGAAGGCCCACAGCATAGAACAGGCAGATTGGACGCACCGCCCCCGCTCCCAACCCCGCGCCACCATTCTCGAAGCAGAAGCCTCCCCGGGCGCACCCCCTCCCCCCCATCACCTCTGGCAATTCTCGAAGCAGAAGCCTCCTTGGGGGGCCAATACAGGCTTCTGCATTTCACGTCAGGCGGGGCCCCTTGCGATGGGGACCGATGCGTCAGTCTGATGAGTAGGACCAGGCAGCAGAAAGGTCTCAGCCTCGGCTTCTGTGGGGCTGCACGGCTGAAGCTGTTTCCTGCTTTCGCTTTTGCATCTACCCTCCTTCAGAAGGGTTTCCTGAGTCTTCTTTCACTTTCACCTTTACTTTCGTCCTAAGTAGCTTGGAAAGGGATCCTTTGCCAAACCCTCCACCCCATTCTCTGATTCCTCTGTCCAGAGCAGAGGGTCACCTCTGGCCGTTGTTCAACTTCCATGACCTTCCAGCCAGGTATCCTCAGCCTCTTACACTAACGGTGACTAGCTACAAGTGCCACCGCACTGATGTTGTGGAGCCTGTGGCCAGATCTCTGGTGGCATTGTTACTGCCTCCCAATGTAGTAGGCATGGTTGACGTTCGTCCTTTGTCACCTTTCTTCTAATTCCTGCCTTTTTTGCCTTTGCCTCCTCCTGGAAACCTCAGACACTTAAGTCTCAATCAGCCAGTGATGCTGGTCCTTCCATTTTCCCTCTCCCTCTCTGCAGGCAGCACTGTGGGCTGGAGGTGTAGCTCAGCAGTAGAATGCTTGCTTAGTATGCATGAGGCCCTGGATTTCAGCCCCAACCCTATAAATAAAACCTTCATGGGCCAGGGATATAACTCAGCGGCACAGCACCTGCCTGGCAAGTGCAAGGTCCTGAGTTCGATTTCCAGTACCAAAAACAAAACAACAACAAAAAAAGCCTTCATAATAGAATGATCTGATTAATAGCTATCATTGCCCTGGATTTTTTTTTTCTTTTTTTTTTTTTTTTTTTAAATGTCTCTGAGACAGGGTCTTGCGCTATGCAGTTCGGGCTGGGCTTGAGCTCACTTTGCATCCCAGGCTGGTCTCAAACTTGCAATCATCCTCTTGCTCCAGCCTCCCCAGTGCTGGGATTACAGGCATGTGCCACCACACCTGGCTGCCCTGGATTTTTTTTGTTTTGAGACAGGCTATGTAGTTCGGGCTGACTTGACATTCCAATCCTGCTTCACCCTCTAGAATGCTAGGATTACAGTACTGGTATGTGCTATCAGGCCCAACTCACTCCCCCAGATTCTAAACTTTATTTTTTGAGACAGGGTCTTGATGTGTAGTCCAGGCTGGCCTCAAACTCATGGTAATCCTCTGCCTCAGCCTCCCTAGTGCTGTGGTCACAGGCACGTGCCACCACAGCTGGCTAAACTTTAGTTTTTGGTGTTGGGGATGGACTACAGGGCCTTGTGTTCTATCATTGGGCTACACCTCCAGCCCCCAGATTCTAAATTCTTGTATATCTGCTACCCACCCAACACTTCAAAGGGCCATCAGGAGCTGAGACAAACAGCTCAGCTCATTCTTTGTGTCTTCCAACCTGCAGCTGTGGGTACAGCCAACTCCAGTTGCTACACCCTGCACAAAAGCAGGTACAGGGCGCACTACCTGAACAGCTCAACCAGAAGAATGCGGAGCCACACACCCTAGGGTCCAGTGTAAGCACAGCCTATCTTGCCTCAAGCTCTACTGAGCCCTGGGCCTGAAGCATGAATCCCGGATATGAGGGCCCCAATAATACCTTCCCTCTTGACTCATAACACACAGGGCTTACAGCAGCAAAGGTCTTTTATTCAGGAGGCAGGGGCCTTGGGCTGGCAGTTGGGCGTGCAGGGGTGTCATAGCGGTAGGCACCCAGTAGGATGGCATTGATGTGCTCCAGTGTCTGGTTGCTGAACACCATATTGAGGTGCTGTGTCCCGTTCAGGGGCAGCAAGTGTACAGGCTGGGGTTGGCGGCCCTGCCAGAGGCCACAGAGCTCATTGCTGCGCGTGGCCACTGTGTCATCACCATCCTCATAAAGCACTTTTACAGGGTCCGAGTAGGGGAAGCCGTGGTCATAGATGTAGGTGCTGGGGGTGGACAGGCCCACACCATACAGACAGTATACTTCCACACCAGGTGCCGGGAGTCCTGCCAGCAGGTCACGTGACTGTAGCCACATGTACCAGCCATCCTCAAAATGCAGGTCTCCAAAGAAGCGTTGGAAGTCACGGCCTGTGTAGTTGAAGCTTGGTGTGGAAATGAACACATGGCCCTCAGGCCACACCTGGTAGGAGGGAAACATCCAGGGGGAAGTCGTCGTTATGCGCTGCTCCTCTCTCAGCTTGATGCTGGACATGAGTGGGATGCCCTGGTTGTTACCTGTGAACATGGAGCAAGACAGGACAGGAAGCTGGGCCTGGCTACCTCTGGTGCACAATTTACCCCTAATCTAAGCTCAATGAGATGCTGAAGATTGTTCCTGGCCTGGATTGTTTTGTCAAGACTAGAGCAGGCCTGGTTTTCAGTGGGTGCTCAACCTGTGCTTATTAAAAGGCCATAATGGTATCTCTATAAAACAGGGCTGTAAGGCCTCAGGTGGGGGTATCTTTCCTGAGGATGAGCTTTGTGCATGGTGTGGGGGTGCTGGCTTTTCTTTCTCAGGCACTGTGTGAGGCCTATAGGTGCTACAGGATAGTTTTGGGAAGAGTGAAACAAGATGGCCTGCCATTTACTGATGTATTGTGTTTTTATTTCACCTGATTGTGAGCTTCTGGGGGAAGGCCAACCCTGGCTGTGTACAGTGGGTTCTCAATAGGTGGCATCTGTGTCTGCTGGGTCCCTGGCCTACCCCTCAGGGAAGGGCAGGTGGGGCTCTTGGGTCTAGACCTGGCTGTGGAGGATTTCTCAGTAAGGGAAATGCTGCCAGGTGTGGTAGTACACACCTGTAATCTCAGCACTTAGAAGGCTGAAGCAGGAGGACTGCTGAGAGTTTGAGGCCAGCCTGGGCTACAAAGGAGTTTAGGGGTAGCCTGAACTGCAGAGCGAGACCCTATCTAAAAAAAAAAAAAAAAAGAAAGAAATGCCTGGGCATAGGCTTCTGGGAACAAGAGGAAGCTAAAAGTGGATCGGACCTGGAGCCACAAGGAACAAACTGTGTTGAGTCAGATTGCTGGGGTTCACTTCCTCTTTGTCATTACTACACAGAATTTGGGAAGAGCCATCCTAGTGGCCCTGCTAAGGATATTGCTCTTGGGCAGTTAATGACAGCAGGCATACCCTAGGAATGGCAGATAATACCCCTGATAGCAGCTCCACGGTCTGCTTCATTCTACCCCCGATGGCTCACAGGATGAAGGTGATCAGAGGCCTTCTTACCTGTGGCCAAGACCAGCATTGGCTTGGTAGAGCCACCCCAGGGAGCCCCAAGTGAGATGAAGCCATCAATGAAGCGGTCCTTCCACGACTGAGGCTGACGCAGCAAGAAATAGAGCAAGTGCAGGCAGCCAAGGCTGTGCCCAATGAGGAAGACAGGCTTCCCATAAGCAGCATGCATTTCCTCCACCAGCCCGGCCAGCTTCTGGTAGTATTCCTCCTGCTGGCCTGCAGGGGGCGGGCGTGGATGATGGGTCAGGCAACAGAGTCAGAGGCCACTTGCCCTGCTCCAGGCCCATCACCTGCAGACACTCACCGGGCTCTAGGCGCCAGTCATAAGGGGCAGCCCGCACTGTTTCATCCCGCACATACCCGTTGTTCACCAGATTCTGTACCAGGGTGTGCATGTAACCTATAGGGAAGCAGCGGCAATGGGGCTCTGGTTACGACACCTATGGGTCAACCTTGCTGGCTCATCACAACCCAGAACCCCTGACCCTGTCTCTCAGTACACACACCTGCTAGCTTGTTGCTGTCCAAGTACTCAACAGAATAGGTCTTGCCAAAGCCAGGGACACGGATCTCTACGCCAGGGGCATTGGACACACGTCCAGAGCTGCGGTTGTAGACAACCCTGGGGGCAGTAGGAAATTCAGCAGCCAGTAGCCAATGGGCAATGTGAGGCTGGGAAGAGCAAATAGCACATACCTGGTGTTATCAATCCAGCAGTCCACCCCAAAGGGTAGAAACATATTGAGATCCAGCCAGATGGTAAAGAAGTCCTCTGTCTTGCGGTAGCACATCCAGTTCACCACATCCGGTTTATCCAGCTTGGCTTCTAGCTGATTCCCCAGGCAGCCAGGCACTGTGGGCACTGGCTCTCACTCTGGACTCCTTGGTTTCCCCCACCACGACCCCACCCCTCCATCTCCCTAACCCTTAACTCCCGGGCACTAACAACATGTATCCTCTCCTGATCATACCCTTCCTTCCTCCCCATCCCTTTTCCAATCCCCTTCCCTAGTAGCCCAAAGCCCAAGCTCCCCGTAGGGAGGAAAGGTGCAGGAGCCAAGGCCACTGACCACTGCCCCCACAGAGCAAACATCCAGCCTGGCTTTCTATTATTGCCAAAGTCCAAGGTATGGGGGTGTGGGGGCTGGGCCTAGAGCAGGGGGCAGGCCTTCATGGGCTTCTCCTGCTATCTGGCCCTGGGCTGGGCATCTTGTCTTTGATGGGGAAGGGGCCAAGAAGAAATGGTGGGGACTGACCCACAGTCCAGTGTGGCCACTGCTGACTACAGCTTGTAATGTCCTGGGCAGACATCAGGTACCCCCACCCCATGTTGTCCCCCTGGAGTAGGCAATCCAGAGATACAGAAAAGTGTGGTAAAGGAAAGGGTAATTTCTCTGCAGGACAGTCCTTGGTCCCTTCCCATAGTGAGGCAAGGCAGGCATCAGGGCTAATGCAGGGGGAGGAGGGTCTTGGCAGTGTCTGCTGCCAGGGGCTGGGGCCCCAGGCTCCCCAAGGTCTGGGCTGGTGCATCAGGGGCCTGGTGGGGGCTTACCGAGGATGACAGGCCGTGTGTGGTTACTGAGCTCAGCCTTGGGCGTGGTGTGCGGGGGGAAGAGCACATTGAGGAGCCAGAAGGGGGCAGCAGGGGGGAGCAGCAGCAGCAGTAGCACCCATTGCCATGGGGAGCCGGGCGGCCCCATTCCAGCCCCGTGCCTACTCCAGATGAAGCTGCCTTGGGCTGGCCTTATCTGGTATGGGATTGGGAGGGGCCCCAGGGCTGGTGGGAGGGGCAGCCTGGCCAATGGGGGTGGCCAGAGACTGTCACTGCCAGGAAGGGCACAGCCTCAGGGAGCCGGCTCTGGGCCTGGGTTCAGTTCTGCGTTCTTCCCTTGGTGCCAGAGGA